GAAGTATGTGCTAACTGGCCTGAAGGTTCATGTTTCCCTGTTCTTTTCTTGCCCTTGGCTCCCCCTCAGTTCACTGCCTTCTTGCCTATGGACAAAGCTGACTGCCCTTCTCTGGAGCAGTTTGCTACATGTCTGGATATAGTTCTTCCTTGTACGTTGACAACAGGCCTTCCAGCTGTCATCACCCAACAACCTATTGGGAGTCAGGCACTGGACTGTCTCATTTTAAAGTCTACCACTGAATACATTGCATCTTCTAGTCAACCTTTGGACACTGTGACATGACATTGTCCTCTAGAAAGCTCATATGTAGAAACTGTGCAATCAAATGATGAAAGAAAACTCCACAAACCAACCTCATGGTGCTTTAATTAGATCTAGATTTTGTCCACATTTATATCTTTCCTCAGTCACATGTGACCATGGGTTGGACACACTTGTAACCTTTCAGTAACTTGACAAACTCTCTTTGGTCCCTCTTTCAGTCATCTCTTTCCCAGTCCCAAACCATCCTGTCTCTCCCAAGACATGTTAGACATGTTTCAATACCCATCTTCACTACGGTGTTGTTACCCAAGGTCACAGTCAAGTATGGAACCTGAGCAAGACTCCAAGCCTATTCTGACTCAATTGCTTCCACCTGTCTGCGGTAGATTCCTGCTGATGACCCTAGGGACTTTGTTGTTCTATTTGGAAAATAATTCAAGCCTTTTCAGTCTCTCTCGGTAGGAAAGTAGGACATCTATGAAGTCATGACATCAGTGAGTTTGGGGACAGTGAACTGCTCACAAGATCATGACAGTTCTGTCTTCAAATCCCACGTTCTTTCCTCCCTCCATCAGCCAAGACTTTAGGGACCTCAATTTCTTTATCTATGGAATGGGAAAACTGGGTCTCTTCAACCATAGCATACTATGGTTTCTCTTTGAAATACAAACCTCGAAGCCAGATAGGGGAGACATCAGAAGCCCTTTGCCCCAGTTCTAAAGATTCTATGAAAAACAAAAGCCTTTTTTCCCTGCAAATAATTCCAGCCTCATAGGCCTTGAGACAGCCACCTCCTAGTAGGAGGTCTACCCAGCCTATTGAAATAGAACAGATACAATCATCCTCAGGAAAGGCAAGATCCCTTCTCTCTCTCATCATCTCGTTCTGTCTGTGTCGGTCAACTTTCCACTACTACAGCAGCCCAAGGTCATCAACTTGAAAAGAGGAAAGGCTTGTTTTGGCTCACAGTTTTGGAGGTGTCAGTCCACAGTTGGTCATCCTGTTGCTTTCACCAGTGATGCAGTGGGTGTAGCCCAAGCTAGGCTCAGATTGCTATCATAATCCACATGTAGCTAAGCCATAGCATTCTCTTTCTCTCAATACCTTTGTAGAATAAACCATACATTCCTAGGACTAGAGATCTTAGGGACCTATGCAGGGGCATGAAAAAGACCTCATTGACTGCTAAAGAGACATGACAGTTTTTCTAGCTACCTAACATTTGTCTTTAGAGAAATGACAATGTGTTAAGCTACAAATCTACAATCACATCCTGTGTGACTAAGAGGGATCACCAATGACAGACATAAAACATAAATTAAAGCTGCTGAGTGGGGCTTCTAGTAAAGCTTCGAATGGGACTGACTCCATTGACAGCTTGACCCTCCTCCTTGCCATTTCTCATCTAGACACAGATGTGATGGCTGGAGGAAGAGCCTCCACCTATGCCTAGGAGGTAACTTTGAGATGAGCAGAACAAAATGACAATTCAGATATCTGGTCCATGAAGTAGCCAAAGCAGTCTTAAACTGCCTATTGCAGTGAAAGAGAGAGATCCCTATATTGTTGAAGTTACGTGATTTCTGCATCTTTATTACTGCAGTAGATAGAGCCGCACTGCCTCCAGTTTTACTATTTTCTTTATTTATTTATTTTGGAAACAAGTCTCACGTAACCCAGGCTGACCTCGATTTTTTTTTTCCTCTGTAGCAAAGATGACCTTGAACTCCTGATGTTCCACCTGCCTACTCCTAAATGCTGGAATTGCCAGCTGAGCCACCATGCCCACTTTTATGCATTGATGGGGATAGAGTCCAGGGTTTCTAACAATTGAGCTATATCCCCAGACCCTGTTCTAGCTTTTGATCAGCCTTCTTACCTCAGACTTCCCCTAGTTCCCATCTACCCTATGTGTGAGCACCAGTGACCTTCACAGACAAGCCAGATAATAAACCTCGGCCACCACGATACCGTTAGTGGTTTTCCAGCACTTTGTGTTAGTCCCTTTTCAAGGCTTTGACAAAACGGCAAAGGGGAGCATCAGGGTGGAAGAGCTCTGTGGAGCGGCACTGCTCACTCCACAGCAGCCAGGAAGAAGAAGAGTGGGAGGTTAGGTCTTGGAAAAGGATGTACTTTCAAAAGCATGGCCCAGTAGCTTACTTCCTTCCATCAAGCCCCACCTCCTATTTGCTTAGAAATTCATTGAGGGATGAACTCACTGATGGAGTTAGAACCCTCATGATCCAACGTCTCTCAACAGAACTACCAGCTGGGGGCCAGACCTTTACACGAGGGCCTTTGCAGGGGTTGTTTCGTATCCAAGTCATAATCCGCCTCTAAGTAAAAGTGTGTGTCCTTCTGCACAACAGTTGGGATGCTTCACACTGAGGCTGCAGCCTGCCCTGTCCCCACCCCCTCCCCGCTCCTCGTCCCAGATACCACTATCCAGTCACCCCATGCTTCTCAGTGTGCCACTTCACACTTCTCTGACGCCGCCACCGTTGGTCTGTTTAAAGGGCTTTCTACTACTCATCCTCCAATGCCTAACTCTACAGCCACCTGCCAGGTGGCTTCCCAGAGGGCATCAGGGAAAACGACACCTCCTGAGGGCTTGTCTATAAGCCATATTTAACTTAGATCAGTTGCCACGCTGTAGAAAAGTCCATCAGCTTCCAATCATTGTGTCCTAGCCTGGATCCTTAGGGCAGGGGCAAAGCTTGATCTACCACTTAATCCTCAGAACTTCAATCCTGAATGAATGTGTAGATAACTGGATAAACAGACACATAGCCCTTGGCCTCCAGGGTTCAGCATCCTCCTTATGTTGGAGACAGATAATTGGAAGATGACCAGAGAAAGTGCCCAGAAGGGCCACCCCACTGGGGGATGGCTTCCTGAAGGCTGGAACCAGGGCCATGTGAAAGTGGCAACCCTGGCACATAGAGAATGGAACGACACCCCTCTCAGCATTCTCCTCTTCCTCATCCCCAAGCCCACCCCACCCTGGAGACCACTGACTCCCCTTTCAGAGGAAAACCACAGGCCTGCTCCAAGGCACAGAAGAACAATGCCAAGGTGTTAGTCTCTTCTGGGTCACTGTGAACAAAGCCAGCTTCAGATAGGAAAGATGAACGTTAGCTCACTGCTGCCCGGAGGCTTAGTCTGTTACACTCAGGGCAAACGCTAGAGGGAAATGCCTGCTGCAATGGGAAGACAGGAACACTGGGGAAGATAAGGGAGAGGTTTGTGACTGGGTCCACAACAGCCAAGCTAACTAAAAAGTAAGAAAGCCAGTCCCCGAGAAAACCAACAAAGCCGACCTCAGGCAGGTTCCAGCAGGATCAGCACCTCCCCTGGGGAGCCTGTGAAAGACACTGACGTCCTTTCCCTAGTAAACTTGTCAACTCTCAGGCGTTCACACCTTAGTCCTGATTTCCCTGTCACAGGTTAGAGTGAGGATAGGGGTGACTAAAAAACCTCCATCAATTCTGGGATCACCCGGACTGCTCCAGGGTTAAGCCAGGGGAGGAGGAATGGCAGGACAAGACTTACAAGTCCTGATAGTAAGGACAGGTCTCCCGCCACTCTGCAGGAAGCACTTATCTGATTTAGCTCTTAGGGTGCTAAAAATAAACCTTGACTGTTTGCCAGCCCTACCTGTGCCCTGGGGTGAATTCTTCCTTCCAGGAACAAAAACTCAAGACTGTTGTGGCTGTCAGGGTTAGAGGAATACAGGAGGAAGCATCTTCTGACCCACGGCTCAAAGCAACTCACACGTCACAGGAGACAGGAAGCAGGTGAGTACAGGAAGAGGCTGGACAGGGTATGCCCTTCAAAGGTGTGCAGCTCCCAGTGACCCCTCCTCCAACTAGACCCTGCCTTCCAATGTTCTAACACCTTCAGATCATCTGCTTCAACTCTGAATCCCTCAGTGGGTTCATCTGTAGAAACACCATCACAGTCAGTTCCAGGGCTGTGCTCTCCTAATTCCCTACGTGTCTTGATCCAGTGAAACTGATAATCAAGATGAACTGGGAGTGGGGAGATGGCTTGGTCTCTATAGCGCTTGCTGTGCGAGCATGAGGACCTGAGCTCAGTCCCCCAGGTAAATAAATAAATTATATATATAGGCTCAGCAGTTAAAGGTGCTTGCCACAAAGCCTGATGACCTTAGTTCAATCCCAAGGACCCACATGGCAGAAGGAGAGTACAGATTCTTTCCACTCATCCTACATATATGCTGTGGACTGCTCACTTACATGGACATGGACACACCCACACATACACACAACACACACACACACAAGGAGGGAAATAAAATGTAATTTTTTTTAAATAATAAAACAACAAGTACACAGTGGTTAACCACCACACTTAATCACTAATCTAAGGAGATTCCAAGAGACATTTTCAGTTCCCCCCAGGAAAATCCCCCACAAAACCCGTCTTCTCCCCTCCAGGATAGGAGCGGTCTTGATAGTCATTATCTGTTCCTTATGGTATCCCTGTTCACGGTTAGGGTCCTGGCGGCTAAAAGAAGGGACGTATGCCAAGGTCACTTAGCAGCTAGCAAGAGACCGGGCTGGGACAGAGCCCACCTCCCTTCTTGAGCAGCTGATCCTGGGAGGAGCCTGAGTACTCCAGCAAATTCCAGGGACTCCATGGGAGTTGCTCAGCCCGCCTCCACAGAGTACCGGGAAGGCCAGGCCCTGGAGGCTGGCAGGGAATGCCAGGTCTCCTCTCGCGTGAGGCCAGTGGCCAGCACAGCCCCCTTTAAGGAGTGCTCTGCCATCCAGTCTTAATTTTAGCTTGGAGGCGTGCCACCACCGGCAGCTTTAACCAGAGGCCCGCTGAAGTTATTCAGGACAGCTGTCGGCCGGCATGCTGGGTGGGGCCTATTTAGCCAGCAGGGGCACCAGTCTGGAGACCCCAAGCTTGGTCCTTCTGTCCCAGGACTGTCAACGGCACCAGCTACAAGGCTCGGGTCTCCTCCTGAAGGTGCCACAGCCCCACGATGATGACCGAAGAGCACTCGGATCTGGAGGCCCGGATCATCAAGGACATTCACTGCAAGGAGATAGACCTGGTGAACCGCGACCCCAAGAATATCAATGAGGACATTGTGAAGGTAGGCTCTGTGCCCAAGCAGGGCACCACGGTCCTCGTAGACTTGAGGTCAGTCTCCCCAGAGCCCTGGATACTGTCTTCTTTGAACCTCAGCAAACAGGCCTTAGAAGGCAAGTAGAAAACTTTAGCCACGTGCATGATGGGGCTGAGGGGAAGATTCAAAAAAATACCGTCTTACTAGTAGTTCCAATTGCCTGCCCTGGGCTCTGGCCCCAGGCCCAGGAGGAATTGCTGGGAAGATTCAGAACCCGGGCCAAGTCGGTTGCTCTACTGTGCCAGCGGCACTTAGGCTGTCTCCATAGTGGGCTTGGGGTTAACCTGAGGGCAGCTTCCCCGGTGGCCCCTTCAAGACGCACTAGTTGCCACACAGCAGCGCCTAGTATCTGTTCCTCTGGTACACTGGGCCCTTCAGGCATCAGTCCAGTTCCCTGCCTCACTGCAGGCCTGGTGACCACCACCAGGCAAAGTCCTCAGCAGGCGCCCTGAAAGGAACACTCAAGCCTTGGGTCCCCACAACTCAACCTCCACTTAAAAGCCAGAAGGATCCCCCTCAGAAGTCCCAGCCACCAGCCTCAGAGTCCCCAGAGAGGTTGCGCATTCGGACTAAGTATTGAGAATCAGAGCCAGAGCTGCTTGTAGAATTCCAGGTGCAGCGTGACCCTTGCACTGCCGACCTGTGAACGGTAAAGCCATCAACGGTACTGCAGCCACTCTGTACCAGCCTCTTTGCCCTGTACACGATTGTAGGGGTGCTGTTGTTTAGGCACAACAGTCCCTGGGGTGTAGTTTTACATGTGTAGATTTATAAGATTAGACTTAGCATCGTGCATGGTTGACAGAAAACTAAACAGACGGCGCAGAGATGACCAATGCACCCACCTGCTCTGAAACTTAAACTTTTTCTAGTGGTCACTCTCAAAAAAGAAAACTCTGGAGTTGAAATTGATGTTTAGGGGACTGACAAGATGGCTCAGTAGATAAAGGATGGCCCCTGCTAAACCCAATGACCTGAGTTCAGTCCCCAGAACATCTGTAGTAGGAGGGGAGAACGGACTCCAACAAGCCCTCTGACTTCTACATAGGCACCACAGTGTGTGCATATACACACATGAACACACACACGCTAACTAACTTACTAACTTTTAAATTAATTTTTATTTTTATTAAGCTCTATATCCAGAATTGTAGCATCTCAGCGTCTAAGCTACATAAAATGATGCGTATTTGTTTCTAGAACTTTCTGTATGTCTTGTACTGAGAATATACCTCAGTGTGGACTCCAGGTTTTTCTTAGAAACGCGTGTTCCATATTTGGTTTATAAAATGTAATGTTGAAAACTGATTTACATATTCAAATTATGACAGACATTCTTAAGTTTTCCAACAGGGAAGCTGCCCCTCTTCTTTTGTATTTTGTTTGTTTGATTGATTTTCTTTTTTGAAACAGGGTTTCTCTATATAGTGTTGGTTGTCTGGAACTCACTTTGGAGACCAGGCTGACTTTTGTGCTCAGAGAGCCATCTGCCTCTGCCTTCCCAGTGCTGGGATCAAAGGGGCATGCCACCACTGTTCAACAATATATCTCTCTTTTTATATTGTGATTATGATGACCCAGAATTTAGAGACCTAGGCTCATTTGATTTTGGTAACACAACCAAGGGTTCATTCAAAGGCACAGCCAGAGCTGCCCTCCTTCAGAACAGCTACTTCTACATGATAAAAACCCAACCCCCATGTGCCTGTCCATACCCAGCATAAGCTACTGCCCCCTGTTTGCTGTGCCTGGTGACTCCCCATGCCAGCCTCACGGAGCATGTCCCTGCATCTTGGGCAGAAGTGCTGGCCTTCACTCTACCCAACTCAGACTTGAAGGACACTACCAAATGTCACCTCCTCCAGGAAGACTTTCCTGACTCCTGCAGGTAGCCACACCCCTGTGCCCTTTCACTAGAACTGACCACTCAAACAACTCAGGCTGTTGTGTGTTATACTGACATACATCACTAATGTTGGAGTTATACCTCCATGGGATACTTACAAAGCAAAACTTTCTAACTTCAAAATACTAGAGAAACCTAGCAGTCATGGTTTCCACAGAGCGGTCCAGCTGAACCACCTACTTCAACTCCAGACTCCTCCCCCAAAGTGAAAACCCTAGACATGTCACCTAAGCTTCTGAACCTCCTGTGACATTGCAACAGTACCATTTACCTCCATCAGGTACATCAGACAGCTCTGAGCAGCAGAAATGTCACGGGTGGGCTGAAGGAGATGAGGAATTTGAAGGTGTGTAGCATGGTCCCCACTCCCGGGAAGTGTAGAGTTAATTGGGGCTGAACAGAGCCCTCAAGCAGCTTCCAGTCCAGAAGGCTGGAGAACTGAGCCCTCTGGCGTCCATGGTGAGATCCTGGAGTTGAGGGTGACAAGGATGGAGAAGCAGTTTCTTGGGGAGGCTAGGATGGATATCAAGTGCAGAGGGGACTGGAGTTCTACTGAGCCAGGAGGGGAGCAGCATCAAGCCCTAGGTTCAGACTATGATCCAAAGAAAGAGGTATAGACAGTAATATAGATATCCCGCTTTCTGCAGCTTTTCTGCGGCAGAGGGGGTCCTCTCTGACATCCCTGATCCCCATACAAATAGCTCCCAAAGGCGAAATAAAGGATGCACAGATAGTTTTGTCCAGAGGAAATAACTGACACTGTTTGGTCCCTTGTCTGCCTTGGGAAGTTGTCTGACATTTCCTTTCCTTCATTTTTAATGACTCAGAAATTAAACATTTAGAGACACAGGACAGGGATAGTATCAGGAGATAAATACCACACACAGGTTCACTGAGACTTTAGGACAGTCCACCTGCAGAGAGAGAGAGCTGACTGGCTAGCGGTGGGGGGAGGGGTGACAGGACAGCCTTCTAGCCTGGGTTTCTGTCATCACCTGGTAAACAAACAAGACAGAAAGATGGATGGCAGGTGAGAGGGGAGGTCAGAGAGATAAGATAGAGGCCAAGGTGAAGGCACAGAAGGCCACAGTGGCATACTAAGTGGCCTCTGCCAGGGTGTTCTCACATGTCAGCAGGGTCCTTGTGGGTTACGATGAATCCAAAATCCAGATCAGAATCCAGAAAGGACCTCCTGTGGTCCCCATTTCTGAAACCAGATGGAGACACTCGGCTTGCTGAGTGTCTTGAAAATTCCTTTTGGGTAGAGACACATAGTCCCCTCTGCAATCAGCTGCTGATTTCACACAGTAAAACCCAAGAGAGGAAGCAAACAGAGCCACCTGGGGGGGCACCAGCACAGGGAGGCACCAAGTGGCACTGCCCTTGAATGCAGGCTGGGAAATGAGAGTCATGGAGAAAATGGGACCTGTACACCCCCTAGACTTACTAGTCTGCCATCCTCGGGTCAGGCCCCTGGCTGAGAAGAAGTCATGAGAGATGGTGGCTGAGGAACTGGGAAGAGAACACTTCATTCCCTTCCCCACCAATCTCTGCCCCTAGTGATCCCCACATAGTCCTGAGGACCTGCTACATACCAGGCACCAATCTGACCTAGAAGATATGGTGGGAGCTGTTTGCATAGCACGTACCAGGCTTGGGGGCCACTAAGCTCATTAGAACATGTACCCCATATGATGGCACATCCTGATGACTCCGGTTGTAGAGATTCTAACAGCCCCCGCCATGCATGCCTAGAAACCCCAGCCTACCCAGGTCACTGGACTCACTCTGAGACAGCTCATGACTAATTCCAAATTCCTTCCTTGTTGGCGTACATGTGGGTGCTAGGTCCTGTTGAAGCTCTCCCTCCTTGGGTGCCTCAAGTCAGCCCCAAAGACTTGAATAGATGTGTCAAAACTGTTCCCTTACATGAATTCTCCACCCACTTCCAATTCACACCTGCCACAAGACACCCTGCCCCCTCCAGTGGCACCTTTTGCTTGTCAGCTAAGACCAAGAAGCGCCGAGAGAAGCCAGCAGTCTACTACTCCCCTCAAAGTCCCACTTCTGGCTTTGGTGGAGCTGCGGCGCACTGCTGTGTAATCAAATTGACCCGAGAATCGAAGCCTTGCCATGAGAGAGACTAGAGTAAGTACAGGGAAAGGTGACAAATGCCATGAGCTGGTGTCAGATGAGGTGTCCTGGAAGGTTAGGGAGAAAAGTGACTCGTGCCTGGAAAAATCAGGAGCCATCCTCTCATAGCAAAACAATACCCAAGGTGGACATTTTAAATGAGAAAAGAAATAACTTGAGGAACAGGTATTCTAAGAAGAGGAAATGGAATGAGCATAGATAAGGAGGCTTTTCACAGTTCTGGGAAGACTACTGATGGAGCCGGTGGGCGTGAGAGGCAGGTATAGACACCACCCCTTCCTTCCTGTGTGCATGCAGACATTACTAATGGATCACAGTTCTTTTCCAGGAAGCAAAGCCCCACCTGCTAGCCAGAGTTGGTACCACAAATAGAACCTCTTTACTCCTCTGGCTGCTGGAGAATACTGAACCATCCAATGAGGAAAGCCCGGAGCACCTGAGAGCGATTTTGTGCGTGAGAAAGCAGAAAGGGCATATTGAGGCTAGATAGTGGTTCACACAGTCCTCCCGGCCGTTCCTTCCTGTGCCATGCCCCCATAAGTCACCCCTCAGAATGGCTGCAGGGGCCCTGGGAAGTTGACTCAGTCAGAAGAGCACTCACTGCACAAGCAGGAGTACCTGAGTTTAGTTTCCCACAACCCACATCAAAAGCCAGGCAGGGCTGGTATGTGCCTGTAGCCCCAGCCCTGGGGCTGGGGGAAATGAGATATCCCTGAGCCTCTCAGGCTAGCCAGCCTAGCTGAATGGGTAAGTTCCAGGTGAGAGAATGTCTCAGGGAAATGAAGTGGAAAAGCAACTGAGGAAGATTCAGTGTTGGCCTCAGTGCATGCACATGCACACGAACACACATATACATGCATGCATATGAACACATACAAGGCTTCGTAGAACAAATATGGAGGTATTC